GAATGCTCACTGGAGCACTACTCTTCCCGACACGTTCTTTCTTAGTATTTAAGTCATAGATTAAGTATTTCATAAGATGTACTTAGTCCTTAATATGGACGGATTGTACAAATAAACGGAGACACACAAAAAAATCCTTATTTCAGAAGGAAGTGCGTACTGGAACAGTGCTTATGGAGGAGGTTGCAGATATTCTTCGGAAAATGTAACTGACTTCTTATACGCAGTGATACTGAAAATCAGTACACTAAAAAGTACTGGAAATAGGAAAACTGAGAAGTCGAAATTGTTTTCTCTCCGTACGCCACTCCTAATTTTCGTTAGGACGCTTATGAGATTGCTTTACTCTGTGTATGTCTTGTGTGTCCCGAGTTTTTTCTTTTTCTGTGTGGTCCATGTCGTATCAAAGAAAAGTAGACGATTAATTCTTCCCCGAACTTCTTCTAATGTAATTTCTAGACCTACACCGAATTCCCCCAGGCGGTCCATTAATTTCAGGGATTCAGTGTAGAGTATTCTATGCATTCTCACCTTCTTACGCATGCTACATGTTTAGCTAATCAATTACTGCAATGCTGTGAGTGTCCGTTTGTGAGAGAGACACCGAACAAAGTGGCTTCAGATACTTTGCAGAGACGAGGTGGGGTTTAGCGTCTGCAGCCACTGTTCATATGGAAGCAGGCTGACTCTTCTTCAGAGCCGATTGATCGGTTGAAATAGCCGGGGTATCAGTTTCCTCCCCAAAGTTAGGCGCACAGAAAGTAAGTTTCGAAGTCCGGACCGAGTTGCTATCGCCTGGCCCGTGATGTGTCTCTGTAGCGAGCAAAACTTTGTACAAGTTCGTCCTCTTACGATGCTTTGTATAGGATAGGGGCCTGCATTAGTACAAACAGCATCCGTCTGTACGTCTAGGTTGCTCCATGAAACGGCATTGAGATAACTGAGAGTAAATATTGGAATTCGAAGCTTATAAAATGCTGGCTCCTGAGGTGTATCCGCCTCTCATTCCGATGGCTGTCTCATCTGATATTGCCCCTATTTCGCTCGTGTACCAATCGGTAAGAATGTTTCTAATTTACTTTCCATATAAGAAGGGTAACGTAGTTGGTTGAGGGGCTATGCTACAAGCCGGAAGGTCGCGGGTTCAAGTCCCGATGAGCTCATTGGATTTTTTTCATTTGACCTAATCCTTCCAGCCGCACTATGGCCCTGGGGTTGACTTAGCCTGTAACAGAAATGGGTACCAGGAATTAATTAAATAATTTTCCTGGGGAGTAAAGCGCGGCCGGCGCGTAAGGCTGACAACCTTACCGCCATCTTTGAGCCGATTGTCTAGATAATGTGGGACCCTCAACGTCTCACAACCCTCTGGGCCTTCCTGGCCTGTTACAGGGATAGCTTTACTTTACTTTTTTATAAGAGGGAAAGTCAGTAAATAGGTCACAAATGGACATAAAACGCGAAACATGTGATATTCGAACCTGGAAAGTTAACACTTATTTCCCGACATCTCCACCAACACCGATGCACTTATACTTTTTATTTCGTGCATCCTGTTGTGGTACTATATACAATTGTTTATTTGAGTCCGTCGCAACACAACAGCATAACGGTACACACCACTTGATAACTGTTACATTATAAAATACACTGAATTATAAACTTATCAAAAAGAAAACGAAAGTTTTGGAATAAAATAGGGTTAAAAACTCTTCATGTGCTATTGCATATCATGAAGTCAGCTGTTGCAATCTTGTCATATTGCCGCGGACATAGCGGTGTATTGAGGGCTTGTATACATACGGGCAGAGCAAACTGCTTGGAGGAGAGCTTTCCTTCCCGCCACGTGGGGATAAGACGGGACTGACCAGCCGGCACCAAATCAGAGACAGAGAAAGGAACATAACATGTGCTGTTTACATGCATCTTTCAACTTCCCCCTCTGATAGAGCGTGTTTTCATATCGACAAAAATGCAGTCAGTCCGGTTACTCGAATATGCTCATGTGCTATACGGAAGGCCAGGTTGTAATGATTACATGACTGCGGGTGTTCAAGATGCAAGGTCAGTAGCAAACAGGAGCGAAATACTGTCACGTGATTGAGTTATTTTACAGGGGGTTTGGATGGATAATAGGATGTACTGAACTCTTAAACAACTCGTAACCACAAGTAATTACGACTGTCTCACTGAATTGCACATTTCAAAGATCACTGCAACTACAGCACGCGTAATGCCTTCTTAATCCTCAGAAGTCATTGTTTGGTAACGGCTTCCAACTGCAGACGTTCCCCTTCCTGTGGGTTTCTGAACTGTCCCCGGCCTTAGCTACCAGCTTCTCACTTCTCACACCTGTAACTCTCAAATGACGCAACCGAAGTAACCAGAGTAGCAGTCATGTTATGACAGACGGTCACTCGGCCAGTCTGTCTCGGTGTCAAGCGCCCATCTAGGGCCTGCCACACTGCCACACAGTGCGGGTTACTTAACTTTGGGCCCTCTCTAACGTGAGGGCAGGTATGTTGTTTACTTGCTGCTGGTCCTCGCGAGCGCAGTCATTCTCGGGTCCGAGTCCCGGGGGACCCATGACCATATTTTACTGTCTCAGATTCGAGAGCCCTCCAGGAACAGGGTGGCTCAGTTATACCCCCAGGCACTGGGTTTCCTTTTCGTGACCTCCTACGTCTCGCAGGGCTACGGTGGATGTATTCGAACCCGCCTCCACGCGGAAACCGAAATACTCAAAGCTGAAGCCAAAGTTACTTTACGCCTGACGGTCTGTCGCTAATCATTTCATTTTGGCGCCAAGCCCCTGAGGATCACGACCGCGGACAATTTTTGCAACTGAAACTCTGCAGTCGCAGTCCCATATCCCTCGGCGCGAACCGCCAAAGAAAAACCCACCGCGGACGGGCGCTGCTTAGCAATGGCTCAGGTATTGTCTAGCAGTGGCCGTTTTTCTGCTTCCCTTATTCTAGCTGTCAGGCTTCAAACTGAAGGCAGGAACAAAACGTAGATATGAGGTTGCTGATGTTAAGGGGCAGCTGTGAGGCGATGTGAAGGGACACATCTGACCCGAGAAACTGCATCGAGTCTTTGAGTGCCGTCGAAAATGGGGAATGCGTTGACTAGGCATGTGACTGTTGTCTTCTCAATAAACCCCCGTTACGTGGAGTTAGTTGTAACTTCTGGGGCACGTTCAGAATATCTCACCGCCCTCTCTTATTAAAGCAAAGAAGGAGAATTAGAGAAGCCGTCATTTTCCTCGTTCCTCTGTGTCCGTAACTTGAGCCCTAGAACAATGAACACAGGTGAAGCGACTGGGAGAATACTTGCAGGAATTTCATTGTTTGTCCCTTCCTCTTAACCATATTAGTTTGTTTCCACGAGGTGAGGACGCGATAATCAGGAAAGGTAGTAATTTCAAATTCTCGCTAGAATAACCGCCACTTTCGTCACCCACACGTAAATGATAATGAAAAGGGATCTGTGGACAGACTGTGCCAGGGATAGCTTTGTAAACAGGCGACAGTACAACAGCCATTACTAGGAAGCAGCTATGTGAACACGTTTTCGCCGGCAATGGGAGAACATGCAGTAATGGAAGAGACATTTTCTGTGCGGTCCGTTTCGGGGCTATAGAACGAGGACTACTAGTTCAGTTGTTGGTTGTACCCATGTGGAGGCGAGGTTGAATACCTCCACCGTGACCCTGCGAGTCGTAGGAGGCGACGAAAAGGAAAGTCTCATATCTGAAACAGTAAAATATGGTCACAAGTACCAAGGGACTCGGAACCGAGAAAGACTGCGCTGGCAAGGCCAGCAGCATACACAAAAGACAGACCCGTCCTCTCGTCAGAGAGGGCGCCCCACAAAAATCAAGACCGTAACAGTCAAACAGTAATAAATATCTGGCCATGAGACCCAGATGGGGCTCGAAACCAAGACTTGCTGACTGACCATGAGTCGCTATGTGACTTTGACTTTGACTTTGAGTTATTGGTTGGAAAACCCCAGTGTGGAGGTGGGTTCGAATACCTCCACCGTAGCCCTGCGAAGCGTAGGGGGGCATGAAAAGGAAACCCAGTAGCTGGGGGTATAACTGGACCACCTTGTTCCTGGGGATATAAAATGCAGGGACCTGGTCTCCAGGCTGGGGGAGTCTTGAATCTGAGACAGCAAAATATGGTCATGAGTCCCGAGGGACTCGGATCCGAGAATGACTGCGCTGGCTAGGACCAGGAGCAATTGTAAATGGCAGACCCGTCCTGTCGTCAGTGAGAGCGCCCCACGTCAACGAACCCCCAAATGTCTGACAGTAATAAAAGTCTGGTCCTGGGCCCCAGTTGGGGGCTTGACACCAAGGCGTGCTGGCCGAATTTCCATCAGTCGTAACATATTTTTTTTTTATGTTGAGTCATTTGAGAGTTGCAATTGTGAGAGATGAGAAGCTGGTAGCTGAGGTAGGGCACAGTTCGGGTACTCGAGGAAGGGGAATGTCAGCCGTTCGAATCCGCTACCAAGCAACGGCTAGTGCTATAGTTACAGTGACCTTTGAAGTGTGTAACTCGGCGAGACTGTCGTAGTTTTTGTAGTTACGAGTTATTTAATATTTCAGTGAATTAGGCTGGAAATCCAAACCACTTTTGTCGTCACTGATCACGTGACAGTATTTCAGTTACGGAAACTTCGTCGCATTTTGGTTAAGTTCTACATCTGGGGTTCTTGGTGTAAGTGCGCAGTAGACTGTTTAGACCTGGTAATCTGTGTGAGGCCCCTAAGTAAATGTCGTGTTTATCTCGATAAAGGTAGTGACGAGGTGAGGTGCAGTGCGCGTCATTAGAATACAGATAACTGCAATTATAACAACGGCAATATTAATACATCCGTTAACAAGACAGTTGCTCCGCATTCAGTACGCATGCGCGTCCGCTTGCACAAACCCGTACTTCAGCTGTCTCTGTGCCCAAGAGACGCTGCAGTCGCCATGCGGGGTATCTGTTACAGATATTATGTTACACAAGTAAGCCGCACAATTTTGTGTCCGCATATTTTCTACATTAATGCCTTTGCGCGCATGCCCAGCATGCCTCCATAACTTAGCGGAATTGAATTCCTACAAAGAAACGAAATATCATTCGGGCATGAGCTTGGTGAGCGGATGTCAGTGGCCGGCCGCGCTGTCTGAGGCAGGAACTGTCTTCGCCTCCTCGAACGCTGGGATCGTGGGTTCGAATCCCACTCCAGGTATGGATGCGTGTATGGATTTATTCTGTCTTGTGCTGTTCTGCAGCGCCTTTGCGACGGGCGCCCCGCCCCCCCTGTCCAAGCATTCTTACCCATTGTATATAAAGTAAAGTTGTCCCTGTGCTTAATTAATTAAACACTATGCCATGAACTCGTACGGGAGAGTGGATTTATAGACCCACACTTTTTCGACTGGGCACTAGCTCGAGGCGAGCGGTTAGCTTCAAGCCCCAGCCGCTTTACCCCCAAAATGTTAATTTTGAAGGAAAGTGAAGGGACCGTGTGCTTTTTGCCAATGTGTCAGCGTCTACGTGAATTGTGCTATTCTGGGGCCAGCAGTGCTCGCTGTGCGGGACTTTCCCTAGCAGTGTGACGGGTTACTTCAGATGTGAGCGCCGAAGGAGCCTGCAGTGAAGGCATATCTCATATTTGTGGCCGTTTGTATTCAGGGGTTCCACGGCCACACTACCGAACGTCCATTTCTGTTAAGATTTACAATTGGCCGGATCATTGTGACAGACCTGGCCCTTAGATGGGCTGAACTTCACATCTGGCATTTATGTGCAGGTTGAGGTGTGGTCTTGAAGCTGTTAAAAATGATTTTAGTAGCGAAATAATTTCCAACCAACTGAACACACTCGTGAAAACAAAACACACGTTCCCCTCACTCTGGGTTTCCGAACTACAAGCTTCTCACATCAGCAGCTCAAAACAACAGCCCCAGCGGTTATCTAACCAACTCAGACCGTCACCAGCCAACTGACCCCACTCTACTGACTAATTCCTGACCGTTCTCCTTGTAACTTATCGGCACGGACCGCACAGAAAACTGCGCTTGGTGCTTAGCGGTGGCATGACATAGTCCATTGTTGCGTACGCGGCCATCGGCACGGACAGTACAGAAAGCACCATCCCTCTGTTGCTGTTTATGAACCATTACTCAGCAACGCTGTTGTATAGTAGCTAATTTTGTGGTCGTTGTGTAACTGGCCACTGACTGTTTGCCCATCACGTAAATAAGTGAAGAACTGAACTGAGTGATTGTTACTGTTTGATTTCTGGAACAGATCCCCCCGTCGCGTCTGCCCCGCGGCCGTTGGAGAAGCAAGCCTCCATGCAGGTTCGCAAGGACCAGACAGCCGTGCTGCCGTGTTACGTCGAGGGGAACCCCCCACCTGCAATCAGGTCAGTGTTGCATCGTGTGTGACTTAAACAGACAGAATGGTTGCACTCCGTTGTGTTATGTACAGTAAATCCACGCCATTGGGAGGCGGAGATGATCCTGGTTAACCAATAAATCAGGATTAATGAAGCAAAAATAGTACTAAAGGACAAAAAGAATCAACTCGGAGGGAGGACGAAACGTTTGGTTTGAGAACGCAGCGCCGTTAGAAACGTCCGACATTTTATCGTCCGTCTGTCACACGCGTTGACCTCTGTTTGTCGTATTACTCTTGTCCCTTTAATACCCAAACACGGACGGCAAAATAAATAACCTCCGACCGACCGCAGAACCGAGTTCTTCGCACTATCGGAAAACTTGACACGTGCACACCAGTCCGCGAATTGTACGTGGCATTCAAAATTCCTTACGTTTATAACTACATAACTAAATTATGCAGGACAGAGGCAGACGTAATCATAAACTACGCAAATCCAAATGTTCCTGCAAGTGGACAAGGAGAGGCGAGGCACAGGAAGTATAAGAGCCTTAAACTTGGCGGCGGTCAGGCCCACGACCGTTCAGCTGACTAACTGCAGTTCCAGAGTAGTTCCGTAACCTGATGCACAGGTTGACAGGAAACCTCTGTATATTTTTCTTCCTCTTCGCTCCCACTTTGGAGCGCAGGACTGATTTCTCAGTTTCATTGACAATTTTTACAGACGGTAGGACTCCTTGGACGGGTGATGAGCTTGTCACAAGTCCGCTACCTACACACAGGCCAACACAAACACAGAATAAACGCATAATACACCAAACATCCATGCCTTGTGTGGGACTGGAACCCAAGATCCCGGCCTTTGAGCGAACGAAGACAGTACATGACTTAGACCGCTCGGCTACCCTGGCCGGCAGACTTCTGTATACCTTATATAAATGTTACTTAGTGACACAGAGTCCATAGTGACCTGGACGCCGTGACAGCGCGGATATATTCGTGCTGATACTGCGGTGCAACAAACGTAGCGCCTACATAGAGAGGCCGGCCCCTGTACAGTGCAGTGCAGTGACACAGAGCCCACAGTGACCTGGACGCCGTGACAGCGCGGATATACTGGTGCCGAAACTGCGGTGCAACAAACGCAGCGCCTACATAGAGAGACCGACCCCTGTACAGTGCAGTGCAGTGCAGTGACACAGAGCCCACAGTGACCTGGACGCCGTGACAGCGCGGATATACTCGTGCTGAAACTGCGGCTCAACAAACGTAGCGCCTACATAGAAATACCGACCTCTCCCCTAGTCAAATATGAGACCCCATTTCGGAACACGTACCCCTCTCTTCTGTCCAAGAGGAGGCCCCATTTCGAAACAGGTACCCCATCCCTAGTCGAAAAGGAGGCCCCATTTCTAAACACGTACATGTAGGAGAGAGAACAAAAGTCATGGCCATGCAACTCGAGGATTCTGAAGCCAGTCACTCTGTATTGCAGGTGGTTTCGCCAAGACCATCACCAGCTGCGCGCCCTTGCAGAAGCAGACGACCGCATATACAGAGCAGGGGAATGCCTGATTATCCAGCACGTTGTGGAGAGTGACGCTGGGCGGTGGGTATGTGTGGCCAACAACACCGCAGGGGTGGAACGCATGGACGTCGTCCTACACGTCACGTCGCCTCTAAACGTTGTCATACAACCATCGGGGCAGCTCACCGTGGATGTAGGAGGCAAAGCAACACTCACTTGCCACGTCAGTGGGTCCTCCCCTCACCTTCCTGCCACGCGAACCTGGCTGAAGGATGGACACGTCGTTGGTCCTGGAGGGGAGGCTCTCGTCCTCGAGAAGGTGCAGAGGGAGGACGCTGGCATGTACCAGTGTCTGGTACGCAGTGAGGACGACAGCGCGCAGAGCTCTGTGCAGCTGCGATTGGGAGGTGAGTCACCGCACTGCTGAAATCGCATTAAACTATCCCTGTAGCGGACCGTGGAGGCTCATAGGTTTCTGAGGCGTCGACGTTATCAGCCATATGCGCCGGCCTCCCTTTACCTCCAGAAAGATTCCTGGTACTCATTTCTGTTAGAGGCTGAGTTGACTCCAGGGCCATAGTGCTGCTGGAAGGATTAGTTCAATTGATGAAACCAATTACCTGATCGGGAATCGAACTCGCAACCCGAGGGCTTGTAGCTAATGCCTCAACAAACTACGCTACCTCTTGCCCCTACCTCTTGCCCACAAAATTCTAAAATTCAAAATTGAAATTTTCCAGGTTTTATGTCTTTATTTGTCACAGTTCACACACCAAGTATACACGGCACTGCGTACGCGAATACGCGTAGAAAGAAAATGTATACCAGTTACCAACACCCCCCCACCAAAAAAAAATAAGTAAATTTTCCATCAAATTTAAGATTAAATAAAATTAAGGACCGAGTTGCAGCAGTTTCGCCGAAACAGATTTAACGCGCCTGACGTGACAAAGATATACAACCTGGAAGAGTTATGAGCTCTGAAAACTGAAATTTTGAATGTAAAACTTTCAGAGTGAGTTGCAAGGGAGACGGAAGTGTGTGTATACACAGTGCAACAGGGTCTAGTCTCTCGTAGCTTGCGCCTTCTTGGTGCTGCAGTGCTTCTCCGTGAACACTTCGCCTCCTCTGGGGCACTGTGCTACAAGCCGGAAGGTCGCAGGTTAGATTCCCCATGAAGTGGACTTTTCCAATTTATCTAAACCTTCCAGCCGCACTATGGCCCTGGAGTCGGCTCAGTTTCTAACAGAAATGAGTACCAAAAAAGTCCCGGGGGTAAAGGGCAGCCGGCGCGTAAGGCTGACAAACTCACAGCCATCTGTGAACAGACTGTCCAGAAAATGTGGAGCCTCAACATCTCACAACCTTCTGGGCCTCCACGGCCTGTTACAGGGATAGTAGCTTTATTATTATTATTATTGTTATCACCATATCACATTCTTCTGCTACTACTCTCACCTTATCGTCGATCTGAGCGCACCAAGGTTCGTTTTCGGTCCACATTTGCATCTGGCCTTTGAGTGTTTGGCTGCCCACTTCTTGGGCCATCTAGCACATCTCGCCCTTCCTTGAGCCGCCTGTGCCACTCATAAACACTCGATTATTTCATAGCGTATTCACCATAAGCCACTGCTAATAGGGCTAACGTTTCACCATCACTTCTACCAATCTCCACACAAAACTTAATGTTTATCCGCTGTTCAAGATTATTGTCAATCATTTTCCCGCCAACATTATACCGCGGCTTGGGAATGAACTACTCATTTGTCTGACTCAACACCCCAGCGACACGCTGCGGCCATTCCGGGAATTAACTTGTCGCACACTGTGTATATATAACAGAATGATAATAAATATTAGATCTCAAGAACGTTATAAGAAACTGTAAAAAGTAAAGCTACCCCTGTACCAGGCCGTGAAGGCCCATAGGGTTGTGAGACGTTAAGGGTCCCACATTACCTTGACAATCGGCTCAAAGATGGCGGTAAGGTTGTCAGCCTTACGCGCCGGCCGCGCTTTACTCCCCAGAAAAATTATTTAGTTAACAAGCCGGAAGGTCGCGGGTTCAAGTCCGATGAGGTCATTGGATTCTTTTCAGTTGACCTAATCTTTCCAGACGCACTAGGCCCTGGGGTTTACTCAGCCTCTAACAGAAATGAGTACCAGGAATAAGAAACTGTAGTGTAATAAAATATCTCAGGGACTACAATAGGCAACCGAACCTCAGCTCGCCCAGTGTTCGAACCAGACAGCCCCCGGATATTAAATCCGCTCGGAGAAAGTCCGCTTTTGTTGTCCTTCACTTCCGACAGACCCTTCATTTAACGGAGATGTGAACAGAGTGCGCCACTGCAAGGTCTTGAAATGCAGCAGTTCAGATCCGCGAGATACCAACATGGAGGCCTCTCCCATCGTTTCGAACAGAAAGTTATGCTGTTTGAAATCAGTAATGTTGATACGAAACTATATGCTGCACACTTTGGTGACTTATTGAAAGTCCCCGGCCTTCCTTGAGACCAGAGCACAACTTCGTCGTATCCTGCATGAAGAGCTCGTCTAGAAATTTCAATCTCCAGACCATATAAAACTTTCTGCTTGAGTCTTAAGAAAATGCGCAATAAATAATTCAACAAGGTACGTAATATGCTTACGTCTGCAGTCCCTTCCACTTTCTCAGAAACCGTGCTTTGTAATCTACAACACTCTTCTGTTCAATCTCTTCCTTATGCCGGCGACAGAATTGATTACTTTCAACCTAGATCGAGTATCGCTAGTGAGTCTGCATGAAAGGCAGCTAAAAGTAAGAACTGTGAACGCAGAGAAACAGCCGCTGCTAGGCAACAATAGAGGAGGTGTCACGTTATGTGAAGTGCACAGCCGTTCCTGTGAAAAAGTTGAGTAAACGCGTTTCCGTTTAAACAAATATACACAACAATAGAAGAGCTGTGTTTTCTGTGCGGTCCGTGCCTAAAGTTTATAAAAAGTAAAAGCAAAGTCACTTGAAGCATACCCGTGTGGAGGCGGGGTCGAATACCTCCACCGTAACCCTGCTAGTCAAAAGAGGCGATGAAAAGGGAAGTCTCGAATCTAAGAGTGTCAAATATAGTCGCGAGTCCCACGGGACTCAGATCCGAGAACGACTGCGCTGGCAAGGGCCAGCAGCATGTACAAAAGACAGACCTGTCCTCGCATTAGAGAGAGCGCTGCACCTCAACAAACCCACAAATGTCTGACAGTAATAAAAATGTAGTCGTAAGCCCCAGACGGGTGCTTTGTTCCAAGACAGAGTGGCCTAATGGCTGTCGGTCGTGACGTGTGACTCAGACTCAGACTTTTAAAGGCAATTGAATTTAGAGACGTCAGTCTGCAGTTCAGTTGAGGCTTCAGTCAGCATGCACAGAGAAAACTTAGCATGTGATTTGAAGAATTTATGTGTGCTGTAGTACAGTGGCAACCTCATCGCTACCTATGAGGCGATTGTACAGAAATTGCGGGAGCCTCGACGACTCAACCTTACCGGCGTCCGCGGCCTGTTAAAGGGACATCATTAAGTTTCAGTAATGTACTCGTAGGTAATAGAAAAAAAACTTATTTTAAATCTGATCTAAGCTGGGGTAGTATTGGAATATTTATTTTAAATATATAATTTGGCCAGCTGTTATGAGCATTTGCAGGAGCAAGTCCAGTACAGACGTGCGCAAGAAAGTTAGTTCCAACACAATTATGCAACACCCTAATCGTGCAAGATTCTAAAGGCTTGTGACGCTTGGATTTTCGCACTTAGTCCATAGTCTGGTATTCTAGTAACTAGAAAACGCAGCGTTTCCGTCCTCAGGTGAGATGTGGGGGAGACACCTACTCAGCTGTGTCCCTTAGAAAGAGCAAACCTCAATCACTGGGCCTGGACCTGGGCCTGAGGGCGGAAAGAGATCCACTTTCCGAAACGTTTGTGTTTTCTAGTCTCTAGAATACGGAGGATGGATGGATCCCCAAAACCCAGCAACTCTGAGCCTAATCATATTAATTTAGAATTTAGAAAATACCTTTTTGTTACCTTTGTTTTTATAGAAACACGTTTCAAAGGGGTCGACGAGAGAAACCGGAATTGCTCTGTTCGTTACTCGAAAGTTCCCTTAACCTAAAATATGCACAGCAATTTGCACACGTCTCTGGTTGGGCCACTGGAGTTTCTAAACAAATGCTGGATGGGTTGGAAACGAGCACATGAGCTGCCGTGCCCGCCTTCGCTCTCAGCTCTAGAAGGAGACAACACTGAAACTGTAAGATTTGAGGCTTTCACGGCGGTGACTATGAAGAAAGCAGTCTTCTGGGATTTGGCACCGTGTCTCACGGTGTTGTCGCTTGCAGATTTACTTATACTTTTTCTTCAACCCTGAAGATGGGGGCGATACGTTCCTCCGAAACGTCGGTTAACACCACATATACACGGTGCCAAATCCCAGAAGACTGCTTTCTTCAACACTGAAACTGTTCTTGGAAGAGTTTTCAAGGTTTCAGTTACAGCCTGAACATTTCCAGTAAAGTCCCTTAATCCCCTAATTGCCTGCATTGAAACGTCCACAGTTTTCCCTACTCTCTCTTTCCCCGTGACGTACATCAAAAGCTTCTTATGATCTCCACATAGCCCCGTATGTCTCGAAATTACTTGAAACTGCAACCCCAGTTCACAGCAAACATTTTCTAAAGCACGAGCAATTTTAGGGGACTGCATACAGCTTGTCCAAAATGTTTAAAATCTGCTCACTTACTTGGGCAATCCTAGACTGTGATTAAAACGGTGACATTTTAAAAGTTTCGGACAAATTTTTCACTGTCGAATTACCTTACAATATGTTTATTTACCTATACACTGGCACCATGAGTGGCAATTCAATTTATTTCTAGATAATCCGTGCAATCCTTCCGTTCCTACAATCTGTAAGGACTAGGTCCCGACACTTGCTGTAACTTGAGGTTCGTAACCATGCGTTCTGGTTTCTGCCCCAATAAATATTGCAGGAGTCATTTCTTGCTTACGTTAATTAGCATGTTTCACCCTCAGCTTCGAGTTTATGTTGTCACGTGATAGAGTGACTGTAAACGGGATTTGGACTGGATATCGGATTTGTTGGACTCTTGTACACGAAAATAGTGACTGGTCTTTAAAATCACTGTCACACAGAAAATGGTGTTCTCATTCACGTTGTTTGGTAGCGGCTTCCAACTGAGACTATCCTCTGCTCCCGGTATTACGTTCTCGCATGCTGAAGGCCATCTCACACCAATTTCCTGTCCTCCTAACTGCCATATCAAGATTGTCTATTAAATCAAAGTCAAAGTCACATTGCGACTGACGGTCAGTCAGTCTTGGTATCGAATCTAATACAGTTACAGTCTTGTTATTTGGGGGCGCCCTCTCTGACGAGAGGACGGATCTGTCTTTTGTCAGAGACATTGTCTACAGTAGTAAGTAATTTGTCATAACGTAAATGGTGTTTACATTTACATGTTAAATATTGTAAAAATATATATACAATATATACAGGCCATCTGTCAGTCCAGAATCAGTGCAGCAG